GATGATTTTGTTGTAAAAATAATCATCATCTGTCTTCCTCAGTTAGCAAAATCACGGCGTTAGCCATGGTATGCTGGCTTTAACTTCTGTGTTAGCTGAACCTTGTAAGGGTGGAGAGCCGAATCCTTTTTCAAAATTCGCCATGTTGAGGTTTTGCTGATGCCCACTTGCTGCGAACGCCTTGCAATAGACATTTGGGTGATGTCATGATGTCAGCCACACTTTGACGAACAGCTTCAATATTATCAATCGAGCGAGCTGGACGTTCACGCTGTTTTGTTTTAATATCTTGCACAGAACCTGTAGTTTCGAATTTACGCACTATAATACGAATGGTTCTTTCTGAGGGTCGGTTTTGTATGCCAAAATAATCACGAATTCGGCGATATGTAGCTATCACAGAAGACCGATTTTCAAAGTACGTTTTAAAAACGTAAACTCTTTGTTCTACTGTGTACCGCTCCATTGCTAAACTTGTACTGGTTTGCAGAATGCAACAAAAAAAGAATACCACAAAAAGTTTGTGACAAAAAAAGTAGCAAACAAAAATATCCGGAAACTCTTATTGGAATACCCTTTACTTACGATACTCAATGGCCCTAGTGAGGTCTAAGGACCGTGGGTTAACCCACCCTCCACGCGTCTGTTTATTAAAAACCAATTTTTAAAATGCTATTTTATCTTTTTAGAATAAAAGCAGAGGAAAATGGTGCAGAGATCAAAGGTATATATATAAAAAAAAACATAAAAAGAACTGAAATTTATTATCAAAATATAAAATAACCTAAAAAAGTGACTACAAAAATATATACACAAGGTGATAAAAACACCTTAATCATGAAAATTAAAAGGTAAAAAGCCTTTATAATTCATATTTATACAGAATTTTAATTACTTCAAGAATTTTTGTTTTTGAATAAAATGATACATCTTTAATTGGTAAAATAAAATATAACCTACCGAAAGTTCTTTTTTTTGTATCACAGCATTTTGAGGCTTCCTAATCGAATCGAAATTAATTTGAAATTGAAATCTGGGTCAATATGTTGTCAAGAAAATACAATCAAAAAAATTATTAAGTTTTCGATTTTACAAAATAAATTCTGAATAAAATTAGAGTTATAGTATTTCAAATTGAATAATAATGTTTTTATTGACAACATTAAGCAGTTTTATAATAAATATTATTACAGAAAATAATAATTACATTCCATACATAAGGTTAGCAACCACTATATATAAATTATTGTACATAAGATCCAAGTTTACACATAGAAACTACCACAATAAGAAAACAAATCAATTAGATACTAGTTTCTTGATTTCACACTCTGATAGAAAGTTTCAGTTAATTTTTTATTTAAATACGTAAAAAGTTAACTTAATTTGTTTTCTAACTAATGCACTTCTCAAAATGTGTAAACAGGACTGTCTGTATATCACACGGTTATTCATTAAATTCTGTCGGTTTAAATATAAGATATATACGTAAACATTTAGAACATCTGTTTGCCACAACTATAATTTTTAAATACCTATTTTTTCACTTGAAATGTGGTAGCTAAATGTTGCTGTGTGAAAACAATTATGTTTTTCAGTGCAAATTATGTAGTTTAACATCCAATAAAATATAACGTTAAAAGTATAGTTAAATTTCAAAGGAGTATTTCGTTCACTATAAAAATAAACAAAATGATGTATCTACCTGCAAGAACAATTTTTAATACCACGTATGACTGTTAATAGCCTTATAATTAATAAACTAATAGCCTTATTTAAAAAGTATCTTTAATTGTTTACGGACCTATAAATCCTTAAAGATAGAAACCTCAACTCAAAGTAAAGCAGAATTGGATGATTTCCTGATTTTTAATCACACTGCGAATCATTTTGTGTTTAGTAAAATTGAAATAATGAAGTTATTTATTTTATTTGCTTTCAGCAGATTTGATATTTTAGCAGCACCTATTTTTATACCATTATGCAGGACATTTTGTACCTATTGTTTTTACATACATACGCCTGCTAAATAACAACTTTGCAAATACTAAGTTAAACTATGGCAAAGACCATTAATAGGCCTACAACTAAATGCATGGATTTTAAAAGCGTTAAACTTGTCAACACCGCAATTGAAAATAACCTTGTTTCATTCATACTATACGTCACGTATAGTATTTTATCTATCGATAGTTTGCGACGTTGCCTTACAGTAAATTGTTCCATATCGGGTGTTTTTATTGATTTTTATACTTTTTTGGAAATATTTCGGCTTATAGTTTTAGTGTATAGCTAACAACATGGTTCGCGAGTGCATTTTGTGCAAAAAACTTGATAATGTGAGTGATAAAGTATCTTTTCATAAGTAAGTAAGTAAGTAAGTAAGTAAGTAAGTAAGTAAGTAAGTAAGTAAGTAAGGTTAGATGATGTATTGCGTTGTTCAGTGGTGTAGATTTAAAGATTTTTGCCGTGATATCACATGTATTTGCTGCGTTTGAATATCATCATCCGATGCATTTATTGAATCTCGAGCGTTTGTTTATCCACATCGGACACATCTTGTAGGTATATAAGAAATATTTGGCTTTTACTTGTAAGACTTGAAGAAAATAAAGGTATCCGAAAAAGAGTGTTATGCTCGGAGAATAATTTGAGGGTTTTGGATATATTTATTTTAAATACTGTAAAAACCTAACATATTAAACTTTTTTGGAGATCACATTTTTGATGATGATATTTTTGAAAATCACGCACTAGATTTGATAAAGCTGATATTAAAATATTATTTCAATATTCGCATTCATTATGAGACCACAAAAAAGTTGGATATTTCAAGAAAAAATGGAACAAGAAGTCTAAATACAAAAGTGTATTGTTTAGAAACGAATATTTTCTTTTTTAACTAAAAACGTAGTTTTTTTTTTCAACGCAAAGCACTAATGTAGGTTTATTGTTGTATAGTTCTACGTGTTTTCCTATTTTACAAAATTCTTATCGGCAGATCCGCTATAAGTAGCGTTCCATTTAAAATCTTAGCCTTTGTATATATGGTAAATTTATTGATTTATTAACTTTTATAAATTTATAATTTCTTAAAAATCTGAATTGGATTTAAAAATCTCTCATTATTACCAATTTGAAAAACTATTTAAATTAACTCCAAAATTGGATTCGTAAATTTGTTTAAAATAAATCTTGATTTATTTATTGTATTTTATTTAACATCTTTATATGTAATAAATATTGTATTAATCTTGGAAAAAAAATTGTTTTAAGTTTTTTACCTACATTTCACTCAACTGCAAACTCTTATTCCAAATCCAATAGGTTTTAAAGTTTGAACCTATATAAAGTTTATTGCACAATATAGGATAGTATTTCACGATTTATTTTTTTTTTTTTAACTTATACAAAATTAGTATTTACTGCAAATTAATAATCTTTTTTGCACAAAAATCGAAGTGTTGATTTTATATTTAATAACATAACTGGTATCGACGGACTTTTCTCTTTTCCAATAATTGTGACCAAACAAATGATACGTTATGAATGAAATGCTTCATCTGTTGTTTCTTTTATCTAAGTGGTAGAGAGACATCGGGCTTCGAATCCTACAGAAGACTATGTGAATTTATTTGCATGGTTCTATATAGCATTTGATGGATGCTGTATTAGCAGAAATTTAATTTCAGTCGATATGACATACAGATTATAAAAATCGCCATGCGTTACCGCTTCAATGATGGTGGGAGGGGGTTTCCTTACCTGTAAGTCAAATGGCTCCATCAATCATTAAATCGCCTCATTTAGCTTCAGGGGTTGAAATTCACTCCTAAGGGGGTTAATTAGAGAGAGTATTATTATTATCCCATTCAAATTTGTGATGTTACATACATTACATAACCCCCTACAGTCTGGAATTAGCAGCAATTGATTATTATCTCTTTCCTGCGTTGAAGTCATACCTGGGTGGACGAATTTCAGGAGTCAAGAGGAGTTGAAAGAAGAGATCGTACGCTACCTGGGGATTATTTTGTAAAATAGAAGAAAGTCCAGGCTTTCCAACAAAGTATAATTAATTTTTTGAGAAAAAAAAAATGGAGATAGGCTGTGTGTGGATACGAATCTAGTGTCCGACCGTGTGTGGATATGAATCTATTTTCCGCATCAGTTGTCAAATACAGGGTATTTCTAAATTCATGCGACAAAATTCAGGAGGTGATTGCTCGTATGAAATTAAGATGGGTCTTTCCTATAACAAAATTTCCTCAGTCCACCCCTTTTCGAGATATCACCCTTAAAAGGTGGTGACTAAAATTTGAAATGATTATTTTGTTAAAAAAAATTTTTTTTATTCTTAAATTTTTTTCCCAAAACCAATAGCTGCAGAGAAAAAAAATAACACCATAATTTATAATTTTTTTTAATAAATTGAGTGGAAAACAGTATAGATGTAAAATGTAATACGATTCATAATAAATGCTGGAAATGGCCACCTCTAGCCAAAATACATGAACGTAGCCTACGTGTCGTACACGTTCAAAGATTTGAGGTGTAAAAATAAAAACTCAATTTTAGTCGCCACCTTTTAAGGGCGATATCTCGAAAAAGGGTGGGCTGAGGAAATTTTGTTATAGGAAAGACCCATCTTAATTTCATACCAGCAATCATCTCCTGAATTTTGTCGCATGAATTTAGAAACACCCTGTATGTTCGATTAGATGCATCATTATATTTTGATCTATGTAATGTCCATATTAATAGTAAAATCGATTTGATGATTAAATTGTTAACATTGATTTTTATAGCTAGATCCTAGATATTTATTTTTAACAATTATTAAATTAAATTTAAAAGTAACTATATTTTTTTTCTGGTTAATATATATAATCGATTAGATGATTCACTTGACATGAGCCCCGTTAGCTTAGTTTGTTGAGTGTTCCAATTAAATCAGCTTTCGGTTTTGACAAAACGCTATCCGTAATATTCTTTAAAAATTATTCAAAAAGGCATATAAAAAACTATTTTGAAACCAGTTACAAATTGATTGATTATCCATAACCAAATTCCTGGTTTAACATTTTTGATTAAATTATTTTGTACAGGTAAAAGTGATTTTTACACTCGCAATACAATATCTTCACTTCAAGTTAATGATATATGTTATCCTTATTGTACACAAAATCCATACAGTAATGTACTGGGTGTCCAAATAAGAAATGACACCGGGAAATTATTTTTAAGTTGTCAACTTCGACACTGGATGATCAAATTCGCACATATTACGATTTTCACATTTTTAAATAGCAGGTTCAGTGTTCACTAAGTCATAGCAACATCAGCACAAAACCCAACAGTAACTATTGTAATAAAAAAATATGTCACTGTAGTCTTAATCAATAATTTTATATAGAGATCGGACTTTTCATGAAAAGTAATATTTGAACTAGTCCGACGGACATGTCCGGAAAAGTAACGAAAAGTCACCATGACAAGTAGTCGACCTAGTTAGAATAGTTGAGTTTTTAAAGTATAATTAATTAAAAATCGTCCGAAAGTCCGAAGCAAAATGAATAAAATAAGCAATCCGTTACTGAAATCTTTTTCTACGCACTCGTTCGAGGAAAAAATCCAAATAAAGGAACTTGGGAGACCTCTTCCCGATTTGGAAACAATAAAAACGCAGAAGGCTTCCACCTGAAGTTCGCCAAACTTCAAAGGCCGGATAAGAAAGTTTAACCGGAATTTGTACTTAAAAAATAACTGGATTTGTGGATGTGATGAAAAAAAAGACGCATTTTTTTGTTTTGTGTGTGTTTTGTTCGGGGGCGATTCTTCGTGGACGATGCATGGTGTAACTGATTTGGTACACATTTATGAGAAAATTAAAACACATGAAAACAGTAAGACCCATGTAAATAATATTTTTAGTTATTCTTTGCTTGAAAAATCAAATATACTGACTCAATTAAATTCGGCTTATAGACAAAATATTATTACCCACAATGAACAAGTTGATAAAAAGATATATTTTAAACATCATTATTAACTGTATTAGATTTTGTGGTGCATTAGAATTAGCATTGCGCGGACATGATGAAACCGTTGAATCCAAAAATAAAGGAGTGTTCCGAGAATTGATAGATTTTAGTTCTGATTTAGATGCAGATTTAATTTACATTTCAACAAAGCAACAGTATTTAAAGGGACCTCTAAGACCATACAGAACGAACTATTGGACTGCATGCTTGGCGTTTACCATGAAGAAGTGGCTAAAGAAATAAAAAAACGAATTATGTAGCTGTAATTTCTGACGAAACTAACGATGTTGCTAACGAATTTCAATTGGTCATTATTCTACGATACATTGCCTCCAGTAGATTTTGGAAATTTGTAAATCCTCCCGGACACAATGCCATTTCAACAGCAAATTGCATTTTAAATGAAATTAATCCATTAATTAATGACACCAAATAAGTTGATCGCGCAGAGTTACGACGGAGCGTCAGGCATGAGCGGAGGTATGAATGGGGTACAAAAAAAATTAAAGATAAATATTCTTTAGCAAATTATGTTCATTGCTATGTACATTAGATTAAACTTATAATGAGCAGTGCAGGTTCAATGAATGCGTCTGTTCGGATTTTTTTCGCTCATTTAACTGGAATTTGTTCTTTTTTTTTCCTACATCATCTCAAAAAACAAAAGTATTGGATGATGTTATTTATTATTTTGTAAAAATGATAAATGCGCACGTTAATATACTTGCTTTTTAACGACTTCGAGTCAAAATCTGGGCTAGGCACCCGAAAATGTTAATCCGTGGCTTTACCTATGTGCTAAGGCAGGAGCCGCCACTGTTTGTTTGTAAGAAATCGAATTGGTTAATTTAATTTTGGGCATGGGCAAAACACTTTTCCACTTTTGAAAAGTGTGTTTGGACTAGTCAACTTTTCAGACTAATCCATCGGACTTTTCAAAGCGACCCATCACTAATTTTATATATGGAAAACATTTTCAGTGCATACCGCCGTTTATAGGAACACGGATATTTGATACTTAGTGTGTCAAGTTAACTGAACGCGGGCTCTTATTAAAAACTCTTGCGTCCAGTTTACTGAATTATCGTCTCGACGAAAATTTCTCGTTTCTCTTGACCTCTCTTGAGCTTATTTTAACTTAAATTTTTTTTTTTTTTTTTTTAACAAATGTGTGTAATTGGGATTTTGTAAATAGTGATATATTAGAAGAAAAATTATTTTGTCATTTATTTAAAATTAATTTTAAATGGGAGCTGCAAGAAGTTTTTTTATCGACTTGAAATTAAAATTTCAAAGGAAAAAGGTTATATTCAATAGTTCTTGGGATAATTTTCACAAATAACTTTAAATATTATAGTCGAGAAAACGGCAGTTAAAAAATGTTACCTTACATTTCTCAACTTTCAACTTCAACTTTTGTGTACACTTGTTTTTTAAAATGTTATTTTAAAGTTAAACCATGAAGAAAAATTTCATTTATGACTGATTATAACTTTTGTATAATTTTATATGACCTTACTTTATAACCGAAAATAATTTTATTTTTGTAACCACACCACTAGAGGTCACCACGTGTATTTATATTGTCTAATCTCTAAACACACATTTACCGTTCAGGTGCTTTTTAATTGTTGACTTTGACCATATCAAAAACAGGTTTCTGGTTTAAATCAACTATTGCGTCGGCTGAACGCGCACATTGTAACGTCTTGTTGCCATAGATGGTTATTGTTTTATTTAATTGATGGAATCCCCAAAACTGGTAATTGGGAAACGATACTTACTTAAATTTATGTATAAATGTCTTTACATTTCATGACTTGTATGGCTATTAACTGTCATTCGTGGTAAGCACCTGATGAAATTCTTTGTACTGTACATAGTAAAAATTCAGTATTTTTGAACATACTCCAAAGATGTTATAACCGATTTTGTAAATGTTAAAATATCATCGCCAGTCATCTTCATCTCTCCTTGTTTGATTTGGAGTACAAGCTTTTAAGTTAAATCTTTGTTATCAACTTTTATAAAAAAAAATATACATTGTGAATATTTAGGTTGGAAACCTAAAATTCTACGTTATAGGTTTCTACTCAAAAAAATTGGATAGCTTCATCATGCCATCGTCCTAGCGATGGTTAATCAAAAGCCAAATTAAATTTAAAATTTGACGTGTCTCGGCGTTTTTTGTCTAAACGTTGCCTAACATAGATAATTTTAGATTTCCAACCCAAATGCTTACACTCTGTTCATAAAGTGTCGAAACGTTTCATTATCTTATGAATTAATTATTTTCTGAGGTAAAACCCCGACAAGTCGATTTTTATTTTAGTTTTATTTCTTTTTACCTCCACTACCTTACAAGATGTTACGTCATCGATATATTTTTTTATTTATTTAAAAGGATATTTTTTTATATTAAACAATACCTCAAGCAAGCAACGTCATATATGTAACAGCAACAACCTAATAAAATTGGGTGAGAATTCTTCTCCTTCCAGTTATCAGAGAAACCCTGTATTTATATTATTATACAAAAGTTAATAAAACATTCAACTTATTTAAACCGGCCTGCCGATGCATTTACGCACAACGCCAATATGCGACTAAAATACTCAAAAAATTAATCCGGGCCACTCGATTAGGTGACCCCGTTTAAACGTATTAAACACGTACTTTCTGCATGTGTAACGTAACCGTTTTCAATATATTGCTATGCTAGCGGCCGGGCCGTTGTGAGATGTGGCTCGGACGGAATATAGTCCAGTGAATTGTCAGTCATTTGAATTATTTGTTGTGTTTTGGAATAACACGACGAGAATTTTTTTGTCGACATATTTTGCGCTAGTGCCACGGTTCTTTGGCCCGTTAGGACAAGCCGCCACTGGTTGAAATCAGTAAAATATGGACTTTTCGTTTTTTATATAAAAATATACCCTTTGAATTAAAAAAATCATCGATGACGTCATATCTTGTTAGACAGTAGGGGTAAAAATTGAATAAAAAAACAAACCAAAATAAACAGTCTTCGAAAATAATTAACTAGTAAGATAATGGACGAACTGTATACAATAAAATATTGAGAACGAATACGATAGAATCCTCTGAAATTTAACTATCAATACCTAAGTCTAATTTAACGAAAAATCAACATGACATGCCATAGAAACAAAGTTAATAGTAATATAGGTAAATTTATCAATAATTATCTACAAGAAAGTTTTATCAAGAATCGTTTAGTTTCAAAAAGGCCTCTACACAATTATACCATAATTTAAATACATTAATTTTAACAAATTTATCGAAAACTTGCCCCTATGGCCCCTTATCTTTTTTTAGTACAAAAACTTCATGAGCACTTAATTTCATCATTAACCGAAGTAGTTTTTTAAGTTTTTGTACATTATTGTAATGCAAGGATTTCTCTTTAATAATATTATTTACAAGTAAAAAAGGTAACCTTTAACTAACAGTCTTAATACCTTCTCCATAGATTACATTAAATAAATATACAAATGTTATGAAGTGTACAATAACTAAAATCAAAATAAATACAATTAAATTACAGTTTTTTTTTTTAATGACCTTTAAAGCTCTTTTTATTATTATTATTTTGAGATTAACTTTCAGATTTGCAATAATCGATTCTTTTGTATAAATAAAAACTATGTTAATTTTCAAGATGTTAGATTAAATAATAATGATTCAATTATAACCTATGCATCATCCATAATATAGCTTTCAATATTTTCACATACGAATATCCAGAAATATGAAAGTCTAACTTCTCCAATCGGCATTATTTAAAATAATGCTATATAGCTCTCAATCTAAAATCGTCTCCTAAATCCACCTCAATCCAAATTAAAAAAAAATTACATTTGGTCAATATATCAATGAGGATACCTCGAAAAGGTTGCAAGAAAAATGCCTTGCATTAATCAACACTACATGACCGTCGATGAACACATAGCGTTAAGATGGTGGCAAATCATGACCTTGGGAACCAAAGGGGCAATTATCTCATAGTATGATGCAGCACCTACAGTACCTTTGTCGACTGCCCCCAGCCGTTGGAGGTGGTGTCACCGGTGCGAAGTAAGCATGTACTTTTATATTTGGTAAATGACTCTGGAAAGAAATATAAAGAACGTCAAATCAAAGAGAGATAGAGGTAAATGTAAGGGATAAAACAAAAAAATATATTTTTTTATATAAATTGAAAGTTCACTGGTTTTATTGTTTTTATAAAATTTAAGTACAAGCATTACATATATTTCGGAAAAACTGTTCCATCTTCTGGTGCCAGTCAATATTTAATAAAATATGGGGACGATTACAAACATTTTAAAATAACAGAACCCGTCTTTTTGTTTTACATCATGTGAAGGTGTATTCGGAATTTTTATTTATATAAAATTCTACTACGGTCAGGAAATTATCCTTTTTCAAAAAAAATATATATACAGGACGTCTGTAAAAGGTCTTTACAAAACATACCACGTTCCTTGGACTAAAATAAGCCGATTTAAGTAAAATTACCTCAATATAAAGTCTCTCCAGTTTAGTCGCTAGAGGGCCCTGAAGTTACAATTTTTAAATCGTTTCTCCTTTATAATTTTAAAACGGCTCATGTGATTCTGCTTAAATTTAGTACGTTGACAGAGTTTTATGTGACAAAAAAAAATGTATGAAAATTATTTGCCAATATTAATCCATAGGCGTAGAATTTGATTTTTTTATTACTTGCACATTTAAAACTTCTACTCTTGATAAGACTCTATTACTCTAATAGTTTTCGCGAAATTTGTATTTTAATAATTTGGAGAGTAGGTTTTAGAGAAAAAATTATCTATTAAAACATGAATAAGATATCTAGCGGCCAAACTGAGCAACTTTGTACTGAGGTAAGTTGACTTAAATCGGCTTATTTTGGTCAAAGGATTACGTGGTATGTTTTTGTAAAGACTTTTTACAGACACCCTGTTTATATAAATTTTTATTTCTTATACTACGTTTGAAAAGTACCTCCTGTATTGGAGTAGAGCTAGATTTTTTTAGTCACGTGATCATCGAGCATATCAAGCTTATGTGGAATAAAAGAACGGCTATGGATTTGTTTGTTTCCCGTTTCCGGTCTCCATTAAAGGCATTTATTTATAAGCTTACTACAACATACTTGGTGGCAGTATTGTAGTTAATGTGGTAACGGCACACATACCGTGATAACCCTATTATTGAATGTCATATGTAAAATTTAATTTAATTTTGGGGATTTCTAAACGGAATTTGAATTTTAGGATGTTTTGATTTTGTTATTTTTATTATAGTATGTTCTAGTAAGTTTATAAAGAAATGCCTCGTTAGATGTAGCTACATACAGAGTGGAAAGTCTAACTGGAACACATTCTGTAACTTGATAAATAAAGGTTTGTCGCAAAATTCCTGTAACGTCAATTTTTATTTTCAATGGGGCATATTACAGATAAGATTTATTTATCTTTTTAATTATCTGGGAGGTTGCAGACACCCCCAACTTTTTTTTACATGGAAGGGTAGGATAACTAATTTTTTATTTGAAAGCTTTTTCAATTACAAATACAATTACATTTTTTTTGTTACTTTTTATAAGCAATTTGTCGGAAAAAATGAAGTAAATACTTTAATGCAATAAATGTTCAAAGTGCTCTCCACCTTGTTGCTGACAATATCCTAATCGATTATAAATAGCATTTTAAACATTTTGTAACACTTCCGGCGTTACTTGCCTAATTTCGTCCCTGATTCTTTGTTGAAGCTCGACGATGTCGTTAGCTTTAGTGGCATAAATCTTGCTCTTTAGATATCCCCATAAAAAAAATCTAATGGAGTAAGACCGGGTGATCTTGCTGGCCACTCAATTGAGCCCCTTTTTCCAATCCACCTAATTTGACACACTTCGTTAAGATAGGTCCGTACATTTTGAACAAAATGTGGTGGTGCCCGTCTTGTTGAAACCACATCCGTTGGTCAAATAAGTTGGGATCCAAATTATTGGGGAATAAATTCACTAAAGTAAAAATCAGTTCTTCTTGGAGCATAGTAAGGTATGTTTCTCTGGTTACGTTTCCACTGAAAAAAAAATAGGACTTACTATGCGATCCCCAATAATTTTCCAGCCCAGATATTTATTTTTTGAGGCCTTTGGGTATGGAATTCACGCATCCAACGGAGATTTTCGTTAGCCCAATAACGGCAGTTCTTCCGATTGACGTGCCCATGTAATGTGAACGTAGCTTCATCAGAAAACAGCACCCATTCCAAAGCAATTTGTTCACCATCGATAGAAGCCATAATTCGTTCGCAAAATTCGAGTCTATGATCAGGATCATCTTCGTTAAGCTCTTATAGGTTTTGCATCTTATATGGGCGCTTTTTGGCTCCTTCAAGATTTTTAAAACGCTTGTATGACTGACACCATGAACGCGAGCTATTTGCCTAGCTGGGTAACAGGATTTTCTTCAACTTCCAAAAATATGTTCAACTGGGCTTCTTCATCGATTTTAAAAGCTTTTGTAGAGGAGTATCTCTTACGTGGCCCAACACCCGATATCGAGTTTCAATTTTGCTAATCGTACTTCCATTAATTGAAGGGAATTCTGGATGAACTTCAGTAAACAAACGAGGAACTTCAGCCTGTGTTCGACTTCTGTCCCCATATCCAATCATCATTAAAATTTCGATACGTCTCGGTTAAATAGGGTATTTTCTTATATTTCGTTTTTAATTTACACGTTGAAATGCAAACAAGTACTAACAAATCAATCACATTAAGTTCAAATTGACCAAAAAACTATCGAGTAGGTTGTTTTATTGGGTTTATCAAGTAAGAAAAAAATTAAAGTAATTTTAGTAAATATTTTCTTATTTCATTTTTTTCCGACACATTGCTTATAAAAAGTAACAAAAAAATGTAATTGTATTTGTAATTGAAAAGGCTTTCAAATAAATAATAAACCTACCTTTCCATTTAAAAAAAAGTTGGGGTGTCTGCAACCCCCCAGATAATTAAAAATATAAACAAATCAATTTGTAATATGCCCCATTGAAAATAACAATTTCGTGTTTCAGGAATTTTGCGACAAACCTTTATCAAGTTACAGAATTTGTTCCAGTTAAACTGTCCACTCTGTATATGCTTTGGTAACATATGACGTCATCAAAACCTTATAAAGAAATGCTCTGGTAAGATAAGTGTGTTCTAGTAAGTCATAAAGAAATGCCTTGAATCAAATTTGATCTGTCTCCTGGTTTTTGTTTCAAGTTGCAAAGTTAATTTTTAGCTGTTATTTTTTGCTTTCACTACAAAATAAACCATGTTTCCGTTTCTGTTTGACATTTTTTACAAATATTTTTTGCTCTTAATAAACAGACACGTAAATAATATGAAGAAGAAAAAACTGAGACAACGAACGACTGTACATCTCACAGAAGTACATCTACAACTTCGACTTCAACCTGCTTTTTTCTTTGTCAATTGTCACAGAAATTATATTTACTCCGAAAGCTCATAATTTAATTCGGAGTAAATAGATATTACTCGACTTACTAGCTCTGCATTAAAATACCAGGGAGCAGATCCCATCGAGTCGAGTAAAAAGAGTAAAACGAGGTACCTTTCAAATAATGCAGCATTAGTATAATTTTACTAAATTCAGAAATTATTTTTGGTATCATAAGATACACCTATCAGCAAAACAATCAATTAATTAAACTCTGGCAGTGGCGTACGGCATGGATAAATAACACCTTCATTCCCTCTAAATTTTACACTTCTGTTCAAAAACTTATTTGAACTATAATTTTACATTCTTTCATGGGGATATTCTTCTTTTTAATTTGTAATTTTGCTTTTTATATAAAATTGTACTGAGCGAGCATTTTTGATGTCCTAAGATACATCAATCAGCAAAGAATCAGGTAAATAGACTTTGCCAGTGGCGTACGTCATGAGTAAGTTACACCTTTTTTCCTTCTAAATTTTATGTCACTCCAGTGGCGTGCGGTGACATTTTTGGAAGGGGAAGCGATTGTATAAAAAGCACAGCGCCGCAGACGAAAATTTTTCGCGGCGTATTCACCATTTTTTCAAAATTTTGCTTTTTTTTCCTCAGTACTACGGATAATCGAGATTGAGATTTTTGAAGTGTTACTATTACTTTATTACCTAGTTTAGTACTAGAAGCTATAAAAAAACTTACCATTGAAAAGCTTCCTTGGTTTACGTAAAAAAAAGAACATTTAACTGAAGTTTTTTTTCAGCATTTTTCACACAGTTGACATTTATTTATACTTAAGATGTATTTATTCGCCTATCCTCAATGGCTGCAAATTTGTCTATATCATCGTCGTAAAATTTTGGACTTTCTGATAACTGTTTAACAAGCTGTTTTTCAATGGATATTAGGGCTAAATTAGAGAGTCTGTCTTCACTTGTTGAATTTCGTATAAAACTTTTAATGCGTTTTAAAGCTGAAAAACTTCGCTCAACTGACGCACTTGTGGCTGGGATGGTTAGTACTAATTCACGCAACTTGACGACTTCACAAAGGGACTTATTTAAACCAGTTGTTACAAGAAAATTTAACACATTGATGGGCGTCTTTTTATCACTAATTTCAGTTGTTTCATAAACAACACTTAACTGGTACTTTAATGCTGGAATATCGAAAAAAATTCCATAGTTTAATTTTAGTGAATTAAAAGCTTCCGATGGAAATTTTGATGAATCGTAGTTACTAATATTAAAATTGCACAATTCAACAAATTTTAATTCGTTAAAGTTTTGAAATCGAGAGTTCATTTGTTGTATAATGTTATCAAAAATTTCGGCGTATAATCGACGATAGGAGGTCTCTCTGTCGTCAACATTATCAATTCTAATTCTCTTTCGTTCAGGTTCTAAGCCAATGTTTTGAGTCTTATTCCAAAAGTGTTCAAACTGATCTCGTTTTTTTATTCATTTTATTTTTAAAATCATCAATTTGTTTAATGCAAAAGCCAATGTCATTTAACTTTGTCTGTAAAATGTCGAATAAAATGTCAGTAAAAGGGAAAATCTGTGCAAAAATGTTGAGCAAAAAATTGAAATCAAAGTATTGTTTGAGCCAATGCAAATACCCTTTAGCAGCAGTAACAGTTTCAGCATCCCATGTTTCTTTATTATCCCAAACGTCTTGAAAAAAGTGTATCAAATAATCACGGTATTGAAACACTGTTTGCACTAAACGTCCATTGTAATTCCATCGCGTCGAAGCAACTTTTGGAAACCTTTTTTGAACGTGAATGTCCAAATCGCGAGTTCTTTTCGAAGACTTTGAGAACCAAATTAAGTCTATGTGCTATACAGTGAAATTTTCATGTTTAAACTTTTCTTTCACTTTAGCTTGAAGGCCTCCTAAATGGCCAGCCATTAGAGCAGCACCATCGTAGCTCTGGGCAACAAGCTTAGAACCACATTCTAAACTTGAAATAATGTCACAAACAATTTTAAACAATGCATCTGCAGTTCGTTGGCTAGTGACGTCCAAAAATCCTAAGAATCGCTCTTGAGGAATGCCATTCAATACATATCGCACAACAATGGATAATTGACTTAAGTTTGCTACATCTGTTGTTTCATCAAGCGCAATTGATACGGAAGGTGCTTTTTTAATTTCACCTTTAATGTGATCCATCACAACGTCGACAGTGCATTTAATTAATTCATTTTGGATTTTGTTTGAGGTACGTCGGAAAGTCGTCGAATCAATAAAATGATTTTTTAGGATATCATCGTATTTTGCTAAAAAACTTAGAAGGTCCATGTAATTTCCTCGATTGGCGGATCCACTTGCTTCATTGTGACCCCTAAAACTTAGTTCATGCTCTCCTAGGAAACAAGTTACATCTATTAATCGTTGTAAGACGTCCCTATTTTTTTTACTCTTTCATTGTGAATTTTGTTGCTTATTTTTAAATGATTGTCCGAACTATGTTCAATCCGATAGGTCCTGAATGTTTTTTCTTTAATTGTAGCACTTATATGAGATTTGCTATTTACATGTCGTTCTACACTTTTGTGAAAATTATTCAAGTCTGTAATACTGACTGAGTTCCAATGTGTTTTTTTGGCTATATTAAAAAGTAGGCAAGGCCAGCAAAACAATTTCTTCAAAGTTTTGCAGCCGATTACCCATTCATACTTTTCATAGAACCCTACGTGAAAATGCCTGGTAAATTTCTTTGGTGACTTTTCTACTTTCGTCTCTAAATTGATAGGATCCTTTAGTCTACTAGAATTAATAATGTCCGTTTTCTTTTCATAATTTCTACTTGAAAATCCTTTTTTCAATAAAGAGCACACAATACAGACACAATTTACCACATTATTATTGTTCACAGGCACAGTGAAAAAAAGAAAAACAACTACGAAAAACAAACCGACATCTATCTGAAGTCCACGATTTTCCTCACACGTCGATTCGCGGTGTGAATTGCAATATGCGTAAGGCGACGTAAAAATCGCTGCCTCTCGACCGTATTTCACGTGCCCAAACAAACTGACTACTGTCGTGGCAAAGCAGGGTCAATAACACGAAGCGAAATCAATTGGAAGATGAGCCGGCCTTTTTAAGTCGCGCTTCCGCCGACTGACTTGAAGTATATGGTGTGTGCGTTTACACAATTAATTTTCTCATGGGTGGTTCGTGCGTTTACACATTACACCAATAAATTGTTAGTACATTTACGAAGTTTACGTAATGTTTTAGAGAAAATATAGTACCTAATTTAATATTAATTTCTATGCATTGTAAACTGAAAAATATTTATTTTTAAATCTCAAAGTGTAGGGAAGCGGTGCTTCCCCCCCTTCCATGAACCGCACGCCCCTGTGTCACTCTCCAAAAAGGTATTTGGACTATAATTTTGAATTTGCTCATGTTTTTTAAATAAATCATGTCCTCTTGTTGGGAATTTTTAAAAAAAAAATCCAAAATTACAAATAAATTAAAATGATGAATATCCACCTTTGAGTGTGAATATCTCGAAAACCAAACACTTTATGAGTTCCCAACAAGAGTACATGATTTATTTAAAAACCATCAAAAAATTTAAAAGTATAGTCCAAGTAAGTTTTTGGACAGTGGCTTAAAATTTAGAGGGGATCAAAGTGCTACTTATCCATGCGATATCCCACTGCTAAAGTATACTTAAATGATTGTTTTGCTAATAGATGTATCTTATGACACCAACAATGTTTACCGAATTTAGTAAAATTATACTGAGAAATCAAAAAATTACAGCCATTAATCATTTTTTAATTTTCAACTTTAACACCCTGTATTTCGGAAACTAGTAATATTTTATCTAGAGCATGTTTCGTTTAATCGTCTTATTTTTAATTAGAGAATCTTTAGTTGCTGTCTGTCCCATTCTTAATGAGACACCCTGTATAGAAAGCAGTAGTTAATAAGTGGGAAGGTAAAAAAATTCTACAGTTCTTTTATAAGTGAGAATAATTGTCGTTTTAATACCTCTAATGTGTCAAAAAAAATGTAAATTTGTGATTTTAGCACAAAGTTGGCCTTTTCTAAATATATCTCTAATAAAAAATACCGCATGTGTGTATAAAATTTCTTACTCTTACAATGTATATTTTAATAATTTTAATCAGTTTTTATAAGCGCTATCGAAAAAGTATTTTGTTAGGAAATTAATCTTCTATGTGAAAATATAAGAAAAATTGGTTTTAGTTGTATATTATTACAAAAATCGTTTAAATTTTAATATGAAATAATAAAATTTATCGTTCTAGATCAGCCATACTCAACATGTGGCCCTCCAAGCGGCCCGAAACACTATTATTAAGAAGGTGTTTTTTAAAACTATTGGTTTGTTTTTAAAATCTTAAGTGAAACTCGCGCAAAAATTTATTGGTCGCTGTGTTAAATATCATGCTAATTTTTAAATAAACGTTTGGATCATGGAGTTACTGCAAAAACTTTCGGCATTTTCGAGTTAGGTACACTTTCGTCTCAAAAATAGTTCAACTAATATATGGCTTAAACAAGACCAGTGTGAACGAAGTCTATATTCATCATAAACAGATGGCCAACAAAAACTAACTCCATATTAATACATATGCACAAACAAGATGAGTGGCATTTGTACCGAAATATAATCACAACATTGTGTTCAATTGCTAATAGTGTGTCTACCAAAACCAGATAAGGTACATGTAACTTATTTTTATGAGTTTAGTTCGATTCCTAATAAGGTTTCTGTCAAAACAAGATAAGGACCAGAAAAATTATTTTTATGAAATTATTTGTTGAAATACTTCCAACATTTTGCCCAAGCCATTTGTTTTGTCTAGAGCCGTCTCTGGCCTCTTTCGATTGGTCTGAAATCGACATGGTGATTACGTCACCCTTTCTTTTCGTGATACAGCTAGCCTTCAAAAATAAATGTATGATAACCTTAGAGCATGCTGTAAGATGATAACACATGAGGTCCGAATAGCCATGGTAAATGATTGATTGGTTAATCTGTAAAGAGTAATTGGTCAATCCGTAACTAGTGGGGATGCTAACGCTCGTCTCCATATTGTTTGCACGTTAAAACGACCAGAAGCACTTCTTAAATCATCGAAACACCAGCTTTTCGAATTGCTTGAAAAACCCAAACCATACCGGCAGAGGGATGCCTAAAAGGGCGAAAAAAAGGCTATGAAAATACTTATAAAAAAGTGCCAAATAATGTAAGTAATGCCAAGAAAAGAGATTTACTACACCTGATGAATTTCACAATTGTATCTGAATTAGGGCGTGGTACAAAGCCCACTCGTACTGAAGCTTATTGTACCCCTCACAGTTTCTACCTCATCAGATTAATTTTCTTGATGAATTAAAGAATATGTCTGATGGGAGCTATCGCGATTTCTTCAGGTTCCGGATGTTGTACCTCGAAGTACCATTGAAGTTCCCATTTAAGGTTCCGACAGTGGCATAGTATGTGAATAGGGACCAATTTCACCATTAATATCACAATCTACTTGTATCCAATAATGTTAAAGACATTTCCTGAACCTTTCACAGAAGGTAGTGACACAGACATTGAATATTATGACTCGCACAGTGCACATGGATTCTTGTGTGCGAACTCGACACGATACGTATAGAATAGAGAGAGAGAAAGAGATTTTGTAGACAATTAAAATAAGTTGTGACGTTTTTTCTTTTTTTTTGTTCCCAATCGATAGATTCCTAGTTTATATTTGTAAAGACTTGTTTTAAATTATTATTTTTTTTATTGGAGTTATTGTTTATTAAACAGTGCTTTATTTCATTTTAAACTTTTGAAGAGGGTTTTCTCAAAACTTTAAAAATGTGAGTTATCCTGTTTTTGCCGTAACCCTACGGGATATATTTATGTTCTGTAGTTTTTTTATTAGAGGTTCCCACTAACAAATTTTAAATGGGTGGCCCAAATAAAGGGTCATCATCCAAAGATATTGCGGCCCGTGTAACATAGTAAACATACGTACGTGACCCGAAGGAAAAAAAGGTTGAGTATGGCTGTTCTAGATGCTACAAAATAATTTGTTTTATTTTTCGACTGCAGGTGTTTTTTTTGTAAAGCCCTGTTTAATACCATGCTAATTTAATTAAATTTATAAATTATGCACATAAAAGGTATTAATATGACAACGACCCTATATAACTTACCCTTAGTCTTCTAATTCCAACCCTAGTAATTAGTTGACAGTCGTACAATTCTACTCGTTGCAAATTGTGACAAGAAGTTAAATGTTCCAGTGAAGCATCTGTGACGAGAGGGCAATTATCTAATTCTAAAACTGTTAAATTTTCTGCCGCACACGGAGACATGGACAGATGTCGAATTCCTTCATCGGTTATTAATTCACAATGAGATAAAGTCTACAAAATAAAGATTCATTATTTTAAAATTGTATCTTTTAACTACCCTGTACATTTTAAATGTTTGAATAAAAATAGCCGGATTAGTGTGACGTCAAGGAGCCAAAGAAAAACGAACCATTATGTCATTGATTTTGATATAATTAAAGATATCGAGTTTTTTATATATTTTCAGCTCGTAAAAAGTATAGTTTAAAGATTTGTAAGTAAATTATTTTTATTGCAGTGGTATGCTTTTAGATGGGACCCAACAGAGAACCCTGATGGACACCCCAACAAATACCTAAAATTCGAGAATCCTTAGTAGCTCTTACAATTTGCTTACATTCTGAAAATTAAGATTTTACCCAACTCAGTGCTTCATCTTTGATTCCATAAACTCGATTAGATCTCATTAGATTCATCACATTTCTCACCCATCCATTGTACGAGGATATAACTTCTTTCAGAGGTAACATTTTATAACCCAAAAAATGAGACATGAAAGCCTTATATTTAATGTACTAACCCGCAAGTAGGCTTTGATTTAACTTTTGACATTTGTTACAAATTAATTATTGAATTGTCAGTGTTTTGCGTACCCATCGAAAAATGAAAGTGGAGCAAAGATACGCGATAAAATTTTGTGTTCGATTGGGTAAAACACCAACTGAAACTTTTGAAATGATTAAAGGTGCATATCTAGATAATAGTTTATCACGATGTAGAGTGTTTGAGTGGCATAAAAAGTTTAAAGACGGTTGTGAATCAGTTGAAGATGAACCTCGTCCCGGTCGACCACAAACTGCGAGAAATGACACAAAAATTGCAAAAATTAACTACTTGATACAAAATGATCGCCGGATTGGCATAAAACGAATTTCTGACAATGTTAATTTGTCTTACGGTACCACTCAAAAAATTATTCATGAAGATTTAGAGTACCGGAAGATCGCGGCAAGATGGATTCCAAAAGTGATGACCGATGAACAAAAAGCGAATCGAGTGACAATTTGTCAGCAGTGGAAAAGGCAATTGCAACGTAACCCACAGTTTTTAAATAATGTGGTTACATGTGACGAAAGTTGGTTTTATCATTACGATTCTGAATTGAAGTCTCAAAGTATGCAATGGAAGCATAAAGGCAGCCCAAGACCGCAGAAGGCCAAAACTGCTAAAAGCGCTGGTAAAGTGATGCACCTGATTTTTTTTGATAAATTTGGCGTTATTTACGATCACATTATACCTATAGGACATACAGTAACAGGGGAGTACTATTCTAATGTACTTCGAGGACCCTTAAAGGCAAAATTAAAGAAAAAAAGGCCGCTTTATCAGGACTTTGGCTGGACGCTGCATCACGACAATGCTCCGGCTCATAGATCAATGATTTGTCAACGAACAATTGAAGAATTAGGGGTTGAAATTATGGTTCATCCCTCCTACTCTCCTGACCTTACTCCATGTGACTTCCATTTGTTTCCTGAAGTCAAAAAAGAATTGAGAGGTAGAAGATTTGAGTCGGATTTAGAGCTCAACAACGCTGTGATGGGTATACTAAACAGACTATCAAAAAATGGTTTCTCAGAAGTTTGTGATAAGTGGATAAAGCGATGGAATAAGTGTATTCAACAGAATGGAGAGTACTTCGAAGGATAGTTGTTGAATTTTTTTAAATAAATGTTTCGTTGTTATACTGTAGCACCAGTCTCGTTATTTTCTGATACATCCTCGTAATTTGTCTTTTAATTGTAAACACAATTCAATTTGGACAACCCTTATCTCTACACAAGCGCAAGCTTCATGAGGTTTACTATGAACGACTAAGGGTTTCTGTCCCCATCATTGTTTCTAACATTGGGTTTTTTGTAAATTTGTACTTGCCTTTCATTTGTAACTTTGTTAATTGTAATTATTTTTATATTAACATATTTACAACCACAATTATTGTAGATAAGCACTGAAAATGACGTTATACCGAAAGCGCTTTGCAGTTTTTAAATAAAATAATTTTGTACGAAATACAAGTTTTTTTTGCTAATCAAAGCTACGTGCAGACAGCTGTTAACCTCTTTTGGTTCCTTTAATTAAATATTTTATTGGCTAATTATTTTCATACAATCTACCCTACTGATATGTCAACATTTTTGACTTACCAAATATTCAATTCTAGGACACCCCATGGCTAAATGAATTAGAGTAGCATCTGTTATGAGAACACACTCATCCAAGTCCATTTTCTCTAAATATCTGCAATTCTAAAATAAAAATATATTATTCCATTTAATTTTGTGAATTAGGTTTGTTTTCTACAAATTTTTGTTATGTGTATAGGTAGTTTATGTATTTGGTAAGAACTCTTGTAATGATAACCTGTGTCAATTTTAATAAAAAAAATTCCTTAACAAATTTGTGATTTTCAATCTTTTTCAACTTTTAACAATTCAAAATAAATCTCAATTTGTATGTGACAGTTTACCAATTATAGGCTTAGAAAAAAATGCAATTTGTAAAAAATTACTGTTGACCAACAGATACCGGATTACGTTTTGAGATGATTGAGAAGGAATACGCCCCCTCACAAAAAAAATAAAAAACACTTCAGCTTTTATTAATTTTGACAAATTTAAAAAGCGAAGAAATGAGTTATTTTTATTAAAAAAATAGTGTGTCACTAATTTCTCATTCATATTTTCCCAGACATTTGAACAAATATAAAAAACTCACGATTCCATTAGCAAAACTTCAGAAAGTAAAGGTATCGAATCAGTTTCATAAGAAAAACTTTTACCAACTCTTTTCGATTTTTTTTTTTTAACAATAAAAAACATTTTATTTTTAAATAACAAATATCGTGCGGTCCTGAATAAGACATATTCTAATGGACACAGGAGGGTATAATATCCGCTGTTGTCATGTGCTATTTCATTATTCTCGTTTTGTTTACAAAATTATTTACATATATTAAAAAAGATAAAATAATTGAACCGATTTTATTGCAATTGAACCCAAAACATTTTGAATCATTAGTCATATCAAATTTAACTAAATTATATGTAATTTCACTAAATTAGATGTAATCATTTTCAATAAATTCCAAAACCTAGTCAAGTTAGGTTGGAAGTGGCAACAGGGCTTACACCGGCATGGATATTTACTTTGTATTGTATTATAAGCGCACAGCGGCTTAGACACTTATTCATTGATAAAAAAAAAGTTGTATCTGCGTAAAATTCTTCTCTTTATCCCCTCTTTTACTTCTCACCTTTCGTCTCCTCGCCCCGTTCGTACAAATACAGTCTATTGATTGTCGAATTAATCTTGGCATCGTGAATATTATATTTTATCAATGAATGGCTATTTATTTTTTATTTTATTTATTTTTTATTTATTAAATACACTGCTACAGGCTAAATGCCTAGTTATAGAGCAGGAAAAAAATTGTAATTACAAAAGTAAATTAATATAAATATAACATTATTTATTGTTTCGGCCTTTACTTGATGAAAATCCATTTAATTTTGAAAGAGTAAAACCAAATTTGGTAGATTTTCACACTTTTTTTTTTTTTTTTAACAAACACTAACATGACATATGTTTCGAAGTACAACTTCTTTTTCAAATGTGACTATTTACAATTCGGTATCCAATATATATACAAAATAATTTAACAAAACAAAGTACTTAAGAAAACATCAATAACATTACAAAATAAACTATTTAAAGTAAATAAGGGTACTTAGGTAATTATAATATCCATCAAATAACAATAAGATAGCCCATTACCGGGATTATCTCACAGAAAACTGGGAAAGAGGTTTAATAAGGGTGAATTATTAATATCTAATTGATCATTTAGTAAGTTATCTGAATTTTTAAATCTATTTATTTCAAGTGTTTCTAAATGGTTTAATTTAAGGCTCTTATTTTCTACATGTAAAATTTCAAAGTTGTCTGTAAAAGAATGATTTTCAGCTAAAATATGATTTGAGTAAGTAGAATTATTTTTGTTTTTTGTATAGCTATTATAATGTTCGGAATAGCGTTTTTTGAAAGTACGGCCTGTTTGACCAATATACAATTTTGGACAACTACCACAATTTAATTTATATACCCCCGATTTATTATTAGGATTAATTTTACCCTTATTGTTTTTAATATACTTCCCAAGCGTATTATTGGTTTTAAAAGCTACGTTAATATTTTGGTTTTTTAAATATGATGATACCTTTTCACTAGGAGCTCCTATATATGTAAGACTCTTATATCTGCAATTTGGATCTTTAATTATGGGATAAACTTGTTGAATAGCCTGTTTAAAAAGTTTTTTCTCTAAAATGTTGTCTACTAACTTTGAATTAAAATTATTATTTACTGCGATTTGTTTAATGATATTTAATTCTTTTGTGAAGTTCTCTTTGGTAAGGGGAATATTAACTAATCTATGGATCATACTGTTGTATGATGCCAGCTTTTGTTTGTATGGATGAGATGAACTATTATTTATTGTAATATCCGTTTCATAAGCCATCACATACGGATATTACAATAAATAATAGTTCATCTCATCCATACAAACAAAAGCTGGCAGCATACAACAGTATGATCCATAGATTAGTTAATATTCCCCTTACCAAAGAGAACTTCACAAAAGAATTAAATATCATTAAACAAATCGCAGTAAATAATAATTTTAATTCAAAGTTAGTAGACAACATTTTAGAGAAAAAACTTTTTAAACAGGCTATTCAACAAGTTTATCCCATAATTAAAGATCCAAATTGCAGATATAAGAGTCTTACATATATAGGAGCTCCTAGTGAAAAGGTATCATCATATTTAAAAAACCAAAATATTAACGTAGCTTTTAAAACCAATAATACGCTTGGGAAGTATATTAAAAACAATAAGGGTAAAATTAATCCTAATAATAAATCGGGGGTATATAAATTAAATTGTGGTAGTTGTCCAAAATTGTATATTGGTCAAACAGGCCGTACTTTCAAAAAACGCTATTCCGAACATTATAATAGCTATACAAAAAACAAAAATAATTCTACTTACTCAAATCATATTTTAGCTGAAAATCATTCTTTTACAGACAACTTTGAAATTTTACATGTAGAAAATAAGAGCCTTAAATTAAACCATTTAGAAACACTTGAAATAAATAGATTTAAAAATTCAGATAACTTACTAAATGATCAATTAGATATTAATAATTCACCCTTATTAAACCTCTTTCCCAGTTTTCTGTGAGATAATCCCGGTAATGGGCTATCTTATTGTTATTTGATGGATATTATAATTACCTAAGTACCCTTATTTACTTTAAATAGTTAGTTTATTTTGTAATGTTATTGATGTTTTCTTAAGTACTTTGTTTTGTTAAATTATTTTGTATATATATTGGATACCGAATTGTAAATAGTCACATTTGAAAAAGAAGTTGTACTTCGAAACATATGTCATGTTAGTGTTTGTTTAAAAAAAAAAAAATTTTTTTATTTTTAAAATAAAAGTGTGAAAATCTACCAAATTTGGTTTTACTCTTTCAAAAATAAATATAACATATTGCACAATTAGACATAATTTGGATATAACATAAATTACACAACATAACAAAAAATACACAATATAACAAAAATTACATAATATGACAAAAATTAAATAAATTCTACCTTGCAGGTTGTTGCAGTTTTCACACATAAAATACAACGGCGAGTTTTTTAATAAATTTGTCCGAGATAGCGGGAGATAAAACATTAAATTGTTTCGAGATTCAATTCTTGGTACTTTAAATACAAGGTGTTCTAATAATTCGGAACAATCAATTTGGTAGTTAATAAGTTTATAGAGGAATATTAACGACTGATTTTTTCGTCTACATTCTAAGCTTTGCATTTGAAATCTATTTAAAAGTAACGTGTGATTTCTTCCAATTGGTGGATATGTTCCGTCTATCTTAAATGTCAAGAATATTAGATATCGTCTTTGACCGTTTTCAAGAGCGCTTATGTGAATATCATAAAATGGTTTCCATATTAGTGAAGCATATTCTAATTTTGATTTGACGAACGCATTGTACCAACATATTCAAGGTTTCGATAGAATTGAGGTCAACTGCATGCCTAATAATAAATCCCAAATTTCTGAATGATGATTTTACCACGTCATTTAGATGTTCATTAAAAGTAAGTTTTCTATCGAACTTTACCCCAAGATCTATAACAAAACCAGGCCTATTTAATATAACACCATCCAAACAGTAGTTATAGAGAATTGAAAAATCTTTTTTGGTATATGACACTATATATACATTTTTTTGAATTTAATGGAAGATTATTTATTAAACACCAATTATTTATTTTATTAACATTATTTAAGACAATCATTTAAGATATCTATCTGATAAAAAAAATTGACATCGTTATCGTCATTAATGATGTCATTTACGAATAGTAAAAATAAAAGCGGTCCCAGAATCGAGCCTTGAGGTACGCCAGAGGTTACTAAGATATCGACAGACTCAAAAGTTCCCACTATTTCTTTTCATGTTCTCTTGTAATGTTCTAACGTAGTCTTTATGTGCTTTCGCTACGTCCTTTTAAATTCTTCGAAGGCATTTAAATCATTATTGCGCCTAAACTTTTTTCGTGATTTCTCTCTTTTTTTTTAATATCTCTAATAATAGGTCCGTTGAACCATGTAGGGTATTTTCTTGCAGTTGGAACATATTTAGGAATACGTATATCCATCATACCATGTAGTTGTTCATAAAATAACTTACATGCAGTTTCAATATTATTCATATTATTGAGAAAAGACCAGTCACATGAAGCTATTAGTTGATATAACATCATATAATTGGCTTTACGAAAGTTATACTGTAAATTTTTATTTACTGGAATAGGTTTACTACGAGGATTAGATATTTGAAAATTAATATTCAAAGCAGGAAGCGAGACATCTTCAGGAACCATAAAATCATATACCCTTTCAACAGTGCATGATTCATTACAAAAAACTAAGTCTAATAATCGATTGTTTATGTTAAATATATTATTATATTGTTTGATGTACGAAAGCATTTAATTCAACTAGTTGACCAGTGAGAGGTGCCATATTAACATACTGGGGAACGTTAAAGTCTCATAAAACAAATACTTTCTCGTAATCAACAAAATTTAAGGTGGAGAGACAATCAAATAAGGCTTCATAATCAATAACTTTAAGACTTGGAGGAATGTAAACAAGTAGTTTTAATATTTTGTAATATTTTGTAATATTTTAATGTAATCGTAGTGCCTAGAATATCAATAATTGGAATAATATCGCTAATAAATGTTAGATCTATTTCATTACTAATAAATTTTTTATTGACAGCTAGCAAAATACCCCACCGTAATTTAATTTAACTCGAGAAGTAGATCTATCCTTTCTATATATATGATAATTATCGGAAAATATCTCACAGCTACGAAAAGATTCGTTTAACCAAGTCTTTATAAATGCTACAAAATCAAAATCGAACTGAAGAGAAAACAAGTAAACGGTATTTATTTTAGTTCTAATTCCACGGACATTCTGATAATACAGATAGCAGGTCAAGTTTTTATTAGAAATATTAAATGAATTATTTTGCGGGTGTAGAGCTATACCACCAATGGTTAATACATCCGACTGACTCATTTGCGATTGCTATGCTACATAAAGTGAGGATTTTAATTCATCTATATAACGTTGGTAAGAATTACAATGGGTGTCCCATGCAGCATGATTTACATTAATTTGAACCAGAGAATCACGTTCCATCACCTTTACATAATTTATACATTTTAATTAATCAACTGAAGCCTTACATTCTTTTACAGCATGTTTTTCTGCACACATTGGACAATAAATAGTACTACTGGAACAATTTTTTGAAAAATGATTAAAACCATTAGATTTATAACACCTCTTAACACATACACAATCATAAACAGAGCAAACATCAAAGCCTATATCCCTGATTGTTCCCTATATATTAACAATAATAAATACACAATTTTAGTATGACTACAAAATATTGTAAAAATTTAGAAATATTTGTGACAGTAAATAAAATTGATATTATTTAGTTATTTTTTATTTTGAATCTTGACTTACCCTAGCCAACGCCTGAAAAGCAGCATCTGTGAAAAGTGAACACCCTGCAACTTCCAATGTTGACAACAGGTGACAATTCGTGGCCAGCGCTACTAGTGATGAATCTGTAAGTCCAGAACATGCACTTAGGCATAGGTAATGTAATCGTGGACACTTTTCTGCTAATGCTTGCACGGCCTCATCTCTGATATTCTAAAAACAAACAAAACATAAGAACCCCTTAAAAAACAAAATGTATATCGATATTATTGTCTCATAACCTTATAGTGCAAGATCTTATTACTGCACTCATATGTTTTTTATCAAATTAGAATTTTTATGTTCTAAAAAATAGATCTTAATTTCTAAATCGGAAAAAAGTTCGTTTTTTATTAGAAGAGTTTATTTTTTAAGAAAGAAATGTCAGAGAACTTTCGTTTCCAAGGAAGAAATCTTACTTTCCAAATCGGAAGATACATCGTTTTTCATAGAAGTCATATCAGAAGAAATTATAGAAGACGCAACATCCGTAAATATAAGCGTTTCTGGATCCAAGCCATCACTTTCTCTTGCTTGTTTAAGACGCTTTGCTTTCTTTCCTGTTATCTCCAGTTCACAATCTTCTAGTTTCCGAAGTAACTCAGTCACTTTTTTAATTCACTGAGTTTTTTTAGACATTTTCACATCCTGACTTTATTTATTTACTTATTTAAACAGTTTATTAATTTTAAGTTATATTTACTAAAAAAACTAATTCACTACTGCCAGGTAAAAACCAGATTAGCGACTTGTTTGAAAATTGTGTTTTATACACCATTAGATTGATATAGGGTTATAGATTAACAAGAGATTAACATTTCTAACTTATCTCCAGCTTTATATATTGTTTTTTTTAGAGAATTAGGAAATATTCCAGTAATAAAAATTTTATTTGCTATATAAGTTAGTGGATTTATTAAATAATTTGCACATATTTTAAAAACCTCAAAAGAAATTTGGTCCAGTCCAGGCACCTTGTTTGGTTTTAAATATTTTATAATTTTGACCACCTGCAGGGTTATTCTACTAAATTTATAGCCCGGCTAAAAGTTTATAGCCCGGCTACAAGTTGGATTTTGAAGTTAGGAACATATAAAGTTCAAGCCAAAATCCAACTTGTAGCCGGGCTATAAATTTAGTAGAATAACCCTGCTGCTGCTCTTCCACAGATTCTAAATATATGGAGTTAGCTATTCTTCCTTCATTAAATTTCCTAAACGGCTTTTTTGCAAGAGTGTTTTCTACCTCTTTAAAATATCTCTTTTCAATTTATTTGTTATATTTATATCGTTCTGTTTAATTTCACATATCTCCTACCATATTTTTTATTTTTTTTTTATCTAATTAAAGGTAATGTTTATCTCGACAGGATGGAATAGGGTTGCCTATATAAACGTGTCCGCGAATAGGGGTTGCTGATTGTTAAAAATACAAAAGAACACATCACACCGTCCATCAGATATGGGCACAGGGTCTCAGCTCTGCATCATTTTAAAACTATTGTTTACAATCAATAATTAGTCAAAGAAATTGTACAAAAAAAGTTAATCAAATTTAAATCAAAAGTACTTGTCGCTATATTTTGATCAGCAACCCAAAAAAAATGTATTTCTCTATCAATAATTATTTATAAAAATTGTATTTTGATTAAAAAACAGATGAATGCAGTAATCACACGATCAGATCTTAGACTGTTACAGAAAATTAATACTTACACTGCAGCCATGTAAATTTACTACTTCCAATTGATGACAAAACCTCGCTAAACATATAACAGCTCTCGATGTGATATGTTTACAACCTTTACTAATAAAACTCTTCAATCTAGGACATTCTCTAGCTAAAGCTTCCACTCCGTTTTCCGTAATGTTACTACACCAACTGATATTTACGTGCGTAAGATTCGGACAACCGTCACTTAAAGCTTTGAGAGAATTATCGGTAATGCTAGAACAACTGTCTAAGTTAAGTCTCTGCAATTTCGTACAGTGTCGAGACAGGGCATTGCAAGTAGCGTCCGTGAGTTTCTTGCATGCGTTCAAATTCAAATCTTCGATGTTGGGACAAAGTTGAGCCAGAGTTTTTATTGAGCCATCGGCAATCGACTGGCAACCCCGGAGGGATAATTGTCGAAGAAAACCTCCACATCTTCGAGATATGTTTTCAATTATTGGGCCCTAAAACAAACAGGGTCAGTATTGATATGTTTTGTTTCTGTAACTTAAAAGTAGTTCTGACAAATACCTATTATGTAAATAGTAGCAATTTACGTTCTCTTTCTGAAAAACACGTGAATAACTGTTGTAAAGAAGGCTGATTCTCCAGAACGAAAATAGCTCCGGGATAATAATCTTGAGATATTAGAAAGAATTTACGACTGGTTTAAAGTGAATAAAATATTTGAACCATCTAGTAAAAAAAGAGGAATGCTTAACAAAAATTGAATAGAACTGGAATTCTAATAGACCGAGAGCCAGGAGTAAAATTATCTTCATCATATATACCAAAACTGCTATTGGAGGTATGTACTGCTACCTGTCATAAAATATGAACTATCGTTCCAAAATCGCCTTCATTAATTAATATTTTCAAAAAGATATACTGCGTTCATTTAGGGTAGACTTATTAGTGCATGGTTCTATGGTAGCTGCCAGTTATTAATAACTAGTAGCTTCAACATATTACCAGTTACAAAACCATGAACTAGTTATGTTGAGTATGGGGTATTAATGCACTGCGACCTTAAAGATCTATTGTGCTTCCTTCTGTCGCTAACGCATCGAGAAAATAGTCTCGATGCCTGTAACAACTCTTCCAATCCTATCTTCTCAAGGAAGTTTATTTGGTATGCTTCTAAGCCCTTGGATTCTGAAGTGCTACACATTCAGAATGTGAATGGAGGTTTCATCCTCCTCCTTCTCACATAATTTGCTTTCACTATCTTCTACTATTCTCAATTTACTAAGGTGTCCTTTGAGTCAGCAATGCCCGGTAAGGATCCCTGTTACAATGCATAGTCTGTTCTAGCTAAGGCTGATACAGGTTTCCGGTCTTTTTTGTTTATATTTACCCAGAAGTATCTTAGCCTGTGTTAACCCCAAGAGATTGTTCCAATTATCGGTTCTTTCACTGCCCAATTCTTTTTTAATCTCTCCTTTGCGTTACTGCTGATACCGCAGAATGGCTCAGCCCCCACAAGGGTGTTTGAGCACCTTTCCTTGCGAGACTATCTGCAATCTCATTACCCCAAGTGAGAGTAACTGTATTTTCCTCTCCTAGCTCAGTTTTTTAGTCATCTCCAGACCATTGTTGACTTGATTACTTAAGAGATCAGTGCTTTGATGGCTGCTTTGCTATCGGGCATGATGATAGTCTCTTGTCTGCGATAGTTTCTCTTGATGTTGAACTAGATAAACTTTTCAATGGCGTGAATTTCCGCCTGGAAGATGTTTGGGTATTTACCCAAACTTTCAGAGTACCCAGTCCTGAAGCTAATAGACTTTCGTCTAAATACTCCATTCCTGATCATTCTATATCTTCTCCTTTTTGCCACATTAGAGGTTTAAATTCACCTCCATTGAGGCCGTAGGACAGGTTCTCATTGCATCGATGATGAAAACACAGGCGAGTCTTTGTACTTTAGAGATATTAGCTCTCGTAGTAGCTAAACTAGTTCTGTTACTCCAGGCTACAGCCCCATAAGTGATGATTGGTCTCACTATTGTTGTATACATCAATCACAATGTGTTCGTTCGGGTTGTATCCCCATCTTTTACCCGCACTGTGTCTGCATACCATTAGGGCTTTTGGGACCTTATTTGTCCAGGGTTAGGCCTAGATAATTGACTTATTTTTTTCCATTCTACATCTATCCCATCTAATTTGCCGGTTTTGAGATTTAGATTTCTTTTCCCTGAAAAGACTGCTACTGTTGTTTTGGTCAACTAGTTAGAAGGTTAATTTGGCAACATTGTTCTAGCCGAGCAACTCTAGACAAGATTGCCAGAATTAAAAAAAAAATATTGTTTATAGAAATATGAACCTGTTCCTGTGAAATTTTCTCAAGAATTAATTGAAAATTTTAAAGTAATAAAAGATTTAATATTACTTTGGTGGTTAAATAGTATATTATACACCCAGGGACTGAAGTGGTACTTTTTATCCCGAAACCAAAAGTTTGTAGCCCGACCAGAGCTTTGATAAATATTTTGTAATAATACTATCAAAGTGGAATCACACTTTGAATGCATATTGGCCTGTAATTAGTTACATTTGATTTGTAAATTGGTACCTGCAATAAAACTTGATTTCCAATAATTAGGAAACATTCCATTATGAAGCAAAACATTAAAGATAATATGCAGTCAGTGGATGAAATATAACGATACTACAAAATTTCAATAAGGAAAGTAGCAAGCCATCAGCACCTGAACCCTTGCACATATCTAAGTAGCTAAGGAATGTTGAGCCCACAGATTGTGTTTTACAGTAGGCAGACGGAGCTGTCGCATCGGCAGCTGCATTAGAAAGAGGGAGACGGCTGCTAAATTAAATAGTGATGGTTTGTTCGGGCTTGTTTATCTGAGGCGAAACCCCGACAGGAGACAGCAGCAAGCGACCGAAAAAGGTCTCTTTACGTCTGAGCACATGTAATTAAATGAAACCCATTTGGGAGAGCGAGACCGATGAAAGAGACGTGACACCACGTTTAACATGGCAATATTTGCTGCCTTGCTGCTGTCGTCTGCCCCGGTCTCGCGTTCTCAAATGGTACCGTTACGGTTCTTTGTGTCAGGGAGCTGTAAAATGAACATTGGGAGAGGTTTATTTGTATCAGTTTGACAATCTCCCGATGCATTAAAGAAATCAGCATTGCTTTGAATGAGCCAGATATTTTTAATGAGTACATTTCTATGATATTCTGAGGAGCTAAATGCAGTCAGATAATCAAAAGGGCCATTCCATGATACAAAAAAGTAGTACCACATTGTCATTCAGCATAATTTTAACATAAATGTAACGTTGCCAAGGTGAGACTGTAGAGGAGTCTCAAAAATCTCATTTTAGGAAAGTATGCGTAAGTGAACCCTTCGCAACATTGAGTATACATGTAATTTCGAAGCTTGTGAATAATAGACCTGCAGGTCGTACTATGATTCCTGCTTTACACCGTTCTCACACACTGTAAATAAATGTTGTACATTCTTGTAAATCTCCTTCAGCTCCAATTATAGTTGCAAACACAAAAACATTAAACAGCTGAAACTAAGAATGCAAATATACTTCCTTAATGTAATGTTTAAAGCGTTTTGTGCGTTTTAGAGTCTTATGTTAAGTCGATTCCGAATTATAACCATAAACAATACTCTCCCATAATAATTTGGCTTGCAATTCGATTTTTGTAAACAATGTAAACAAAATTAGTCTAGTAGTTGTTCATCCCTATTATTTTGCTATGTATTAGACTAACTTACGAATTTGCCATTGTGATTAAACTTGTTTTTTAAAAAAAAACAACCATTTGTAAATGGCAGACATTCTTATATCATTAATTTAAAGTGTATTTATCATTTTTATAGTATAAAAACCAGTTTGACAATTTATAAAGCAGTTACTTACTGCCACATATAATATCAGATCTATAGTTTTTACTCACCTTTGAGCTCGTCTGCCCCGATTTTTATATAAATTGGTTAAAGGATAAATTGGTTTCAAACAGGGAATTTGGTAATGATTTTTTTGTTCACTTCAACCCCGTTTGCTTCAAATAGGCGACTGCTTTACGTGGTAAGCCCATGTATACCTAATTTATTTCGTTTCTAATTTTTAAGTAAATGTGACCCTGGTATAAATTAGGAAATTATAAAAGATTTTTTAATTTTTATTAGACTAGCGGTCCATATTTCATGGCATAGCGGACGATATTACATGCTTCTAATAGCAAACTTTTGGTATGATATAAAGCAGATTCTTTTACCCTCTGCTTTAGGAGCACAAAGCTGATAACTAACAAGGGACAGGATCAACTAGAACAGAAATAGTAAACATGTGGTATGTTTGAATTGTTTAAATAATATCTTCGACTAAAATTAAGCAATTTGGCAGCACTGTAATATTTGATAAAATTCAGTTTTAGAAAATGGACAGTAATTCTTTTATGACAGACTGAATTATTATTACCATTTGAATCAGCTACAACTCGCAATTTTTACCTCTACATCCTTCTGGAAATCGAACAGATCAATTCTTTGCCAATTTGAGCCATCCAGTGCTAAAATATTCCAAGCTTTCGAGACCTGAGCACATCTGCAGAGCGATACAACATCTAAGTAGGAAAATATTCGTAATAGCAATTCTTTGGGCAACTTCTTGTTGATTGGTGCTTCATCTTCAACAAACACTTTATTTAACTGAAAAAAAAAAAAAGAAAGTTCATTTGAATGTGAAATAAAAAGCGTTCACCTTAATGTTCATTAATATTGTATCTATTTGATAAAACTGTAGAATAAAAGTTTTAAATCGAACCCAGGACTCAGTCACTTTTTGTATATGATTATTAAATAGTAAACGTTCAATAGTACAATAATATTGTTTTCCTTCCCTAAATAGGTACATCATTTATGGGTGCTGGTTCTGAATACAAGATTTTGACGGAAATGAATTAATTTAATGGAAATTAAATACATATATTTTACGTAAGTGCATTAGGTTATTGGGTTTAAATTTATAAAATAAATAGACCAAAACATTACAAATTTGGTGATAAACAGCTGACAACAGATTTGATACAAAATTTAGGCTACATTTTTTTTTTATTGCACCTATATAATAATACTCTCCCTATGATAATCTCTAAAGCTTTGAAAGAAGAACTTGTGACGGGACGATGAATATCATTATTATTATTACTTACTGTGGCGCTTTAGGGCGACTCACAGATAGTTGATGGTGATATTTGACTTACAGGCGAGGAAAAATTTACACATATTCCGTGGGATTCGAACCAACGCGTCGCTTTTAATTAAAGGCGAATAACTGTACATATGGCCGCTTGACACATTGGGCTACCAAGGTCTTGTAACTAACAAATCAAATTATTGCTCCGTCTTTTTATAATATGACGATTAAGTTTCTTGTCAGTAGTTATTTTTTTACTTCACTTTAAACAATTTATTTAGGATAATCTCGTGAAATGTTTTAAAATATTTTTAAACAACAAAAGAGTAGTTATATTATCACTGCGGAAAAAGGCATTTTTGACACGAGTGTGAAATATTGTACCAGGCGATAGCCGAATATACTCATCATAATTATTATTAGATAGATACATTTTTATTGTATTTCTAACAGAAAAACAATTGCTACTTCACAAGTATCATTAAAAATGAAAGACAAATTCAAATTCGTTAGGGGAGAACTTTGAATTTTCAAATAACAAAATAGAAATGAGGCTTTGAAAATACCATCCAAGTCAAAATAGTTTTACCTATACAATAAACAGTAAATTTAAGTATAATATAAAAAATAAAAAAATACTACTAGATTTAAATGAACCGAATATACAACTAAAAAAAAACAAAATAATGATCTATAGTACATGATAGACATCATTTTTTCTGGCTGCTTGAATATAAGCTTTCAGATATATTGATTTTATAACAACTAAATACACACCTGTTTATCTGTTTCTAAGCCTAGATTGATTGTATTTGAAAAATTCCTAGATTTTCTAGATTGCTTTTTATTTCGCCACCAAATGTTAGACTCATCTATTTTCTTATTATCTTCTTCTGTATTGCTATGGTTGCTATTGGTTGTGTTTGCAGGCGACTAAGTGAAAATAAACAATAGTAAAATAAACACAAAAATAAAAGATAATTGTAAATAATACAAAACAACATAAACTTAAGTCTGGTTTCATAAACTTTATTCTAATTTGAAAAGATCTGAAATATTCCTCAAATAAATTAAATTAAAAAAAATACATTTATTTTTACTATGAAAATATGTGTAATGTATGTAATGAGTATAACAATAATGAAAAAGTGTTCTTTTCCAGAATATTTTCACAATCCTCTTTTTATCATACATTTTTCATCAGGAAAGGGACATACGTTAACTTTGGACTCAATTAGGGTTTCGTCTATTATAACAAGATACAGGGTATTTTATGAATTTTGCCTATTGTGTACCTATGTTTTTATATTTGGTACACGCATTCTTCATACCTTACCAAATTTACTAATGTATCAACAAGAAACAACTAACTAAAACAACACCCTGTACGTCTGAATTTTTAAGTTTTTCCCTTATTTGAAAACAACACAAAAATTGAACACAATGATGTGCTTTTAATTTTTGTGCAGATGATTTTACAGCTTCTCTTATTTGTTGCTACACTCATATACTTTTGAATTCCGCACTTGTAAAAAGTGGTAGAAACAAAAATACTTTATACCTTATACTTCTAGCATAACCTGTAATACCTACCTGCTAATATTTACTATTTTAATTTTTTTAAATTTCTAATTAGAACTCCTTTAATCAATAACACTATGTAAAATTCAATATTATGGTCCTGTATATTATTTAAAATTCCTAAAATTAACTCAACAGTCCATTGTTTAAGAAATGTGTCGTTTTATTTTACATATATTGCCTTTGTCTTACAGCAGACAAATATGCATATATATTAAATTCTGTTTCTTGCATAAATAATTTATATTTGGAGTAATAAACAATTTTTATATTCCAAGGACTCAATCATACCTATAAGTTATTCCTATTGCATCTATATTTCATTATATATTTTGCATAAGAATTTTTTTACTTACTTTAAAATTATTTGGTTTAATTATTATACTTATATAAAGGTGGTTAAGCAGTTAGAACCTGGAACTTGTTCCTAATGCTTGGGTAGGGTGCAACTATGGCTCCTCAATCTACCTAGACAGAACACGGCAAAAACAATACAGAATCAGAATTTGAAAAAAGGCAGCATCGTGAAACGGCAGCAACCTCCCCACATAAACCCCCTCGAAATCAGTGTCCACTAAATTTTGAAACAATAGTTTAACATTCCACATTTTTATTGTTTTTTGCATTTACATCTAATGTGCCCCAACAGATGACTTGTTACTAAAATTAGATTCCTGTCAAAAAAAAACCAATTTGGTTAGTTTCAGGGATATCATGTATATGTCGTAGATCGTAGATTCATAATGAAACCTGTCTTTTCAAGAAGATTCTAGTCATATCACGAAGTGTCGGCATATTATGTAAAATCAAGAAGCTACACAATCTGGCAAGGCTTATCATTAAGAACCCCTAGTATTTCGGCATATTATAACACAAAACACAACTTGCCTAAATTAGAATATTACAGTTTCATGAAATGCCCACAAAGGCAAGGCTGACTTCTGAGCTTGTTACAGAGACATTGGATTATATAGGGCGGGTCAGCATTAAACAGAGATACAAAAAAAATGATGATACCTGAATCAATACCACCACACCACCCTAACGTTTTATCCTATAAAATACTTCATATCGCTAAAAATATTACAAGCTGTTTCAGAGTTTTTTTGATTATGTCCATTAAATTTAAAATCGATATCTCAAACCATTTTATGGGTGACACACAGATACATTTTTTGTCAAAACTTGTTTCGGTTCATTTTAAGTTTTAGGCAAAAAAAGAAATATTTTTTACCTATACCATATTTACCCTCGCCATGTGTGATGTGGAAGTAATAGAATAAACAAAAAATATTAAATGACTTTATTTAAAAAATATCACGATCAATATCCGGCAACTGAAATGGCCAGCTCTGTGAAACAAATTTAAACCAGTTCTAAAGAAGCTTATAGTAAATCTAGTGACCCAGTATCACATATTTTAAATCTTAATAAAATTTAATAAGTCTCTTAAATTGCTTGATATTACTTGAAGTTTTAATCTCAAGAGAGAAAGTATTAAATCTGTCATGACCAATAAAGACAGTGATATGAGTCATGCCCGTGATGAGTACACACGCCTCTGAATGAAATCCAAATTGTCATTTAAAGAATTTTAAGCAACATAATGCTAGACTTTTTCATGCTTATGCCCTACTTTTGATTTTTTTTGTTTAACCCTTAAGTACTGAAGTAGAGTCTACTAGACTCCGTCTAACTCTGCATCAGTTCCTCCACTATCAGATTTTTCCTGCGACATTCAGTACCTTTCTGTTTAGTAATTATTTGCTTGTAATTCTAAACAGAGTGTTCATTGGAATAGAATAGAATTTTATTAACTGTCGCTACAATAAATGACTAACAGCAGGTAACAACAACGATCAATATCCGGCAACTGAAATGGCCAGCTCTGTGAAACAAATTTAAACCAGTTCTAAAGAAGCTTATAGTAAATCTAGGAAGATCTAACTGCACGATATATACGTATTTACTCTACACATATTCTTAAATAATTATTAATGGGTCCACCCTATATTATCTAGCTTTGGTGTTTATATAATTTGCATGATTCATAACATAACCTCAAACAATTGTTTATGCCTTACTAACTGCTGTATATTGTATGGTCTTTTGTTCGGACATGACATATATTTGCTATAGTATGCATTAAACAATTTATTTTCATTATTTTCCTCTATAATAACCACAAAACAAAATTATTGTCAGCTTCAACAATCCAGGTAAATTAAACCGTTACACCATCTGACGACTATAAACCGTTACTTCTCAAAGTGCCGATATTTTAATTTAGTCATAATATATTATGTTAGGACATTATATGCCGAAAGAATGTGGTCTCTTCACGAATAAAGCCTCGGCAGATTGTGTAGCTTCCTGAATTTACACAATATGCCGACGCTTCATGATGTGACTAGGATATTCATGAAAAGACGAATTTAACTATAAGATTACGACATATATAACAAAAAATATAGATAACAGCACGAAAAAATTTTATCCGACGATTTTTCTTCTTCAATTGTAAATAACAGAAATATACCAAACAGTACAAAAAGTTCCTCATATAAAGTACTCCCCCAGTTGCTCCGACTATGCTCAAAATCTAATCAACTCTTCAGGGGCTCCTGGAAACCCTTGTTCGAAATCCCAACGAAATCGGCCAGATAGTTTGAGCTGTAGCATGCTAACAAAAAACGTCACAGTTTTAAAAACATGTTTTTTGGGTTCCTAGAACCCCAAAAAGTAAAGATTTAGTGTTGTCTCAAATTGAGGAGTGATTCTTACCTCCCCATTTTTATGGATTGGTGGGGAGGTTAAAATGGATGTAGGAGATACGCCTTTCTCGTTAATCAACCATTTCGCATTACTCATGTGCGAAACAGGTGTGGGACTTTTGAATCTAGTAATTTTTCGAACATTTTCTATCTCTATCTTATCCTCACCCTGTTTACAATTGTTGGATTGGCTACAATGATTACCCCCTGTCATCATTGCTTTAAACAACTTTCATTGAGTCTCGGTTGTGTATTTTTTTAATGGATTCTTTTCCACATATCCATAAAAAAACCCAAATCTGTTGGAATACTGTTAGTAACGTGACAAACATTAAAATACTCTATAATGGAGTTAATGAAATCAAATCTATTTAAAAATAGGTATTCCTAATGTACAACAAACTTTACATTAAAATAATTTTAAAAGGTAGACAATAATATGTAGTTACTGATAGTTTTTTACCCTTTCAGACATCCCTCTGCTACCTCCTGAGGGATCCCCACCAGGGTTGTTTCCAGCAGGTCTTTCCTCCTCTGGGTTCGCATGGCGGCACTGCAGCCTCATGGGTTTATTGTGCCACCATTTGGATGTTTTAGTATTTAGTATTTACACCCCTCAGCACCCTCAAGCTATCACCCTAATCTGTCTGTAGCCTGGCGGCACTGCAGCCTGCAGCTTATTGTACCACCATTTAAAGGTCCTACTACTTTCTCATTCACCAATTTTCTCCCTCATTCAGTCCAGGTCGTCAATGGTTAAAAAGTAGTCTGCTAAGTCCCTTGGTGATACTGACCATGATGGAACATTCCAGTAGTTAGCCATCCACGGCAAGACTGGAGATATCACTGCTGAACTGTTGCTAGAATGTGGATGCACACTAATCTCAAGGCTAACCTCTTCAGTTAGATGCCTTATCCCTTCAACTCTATTACATCATCTAGATGGGACCTGAACTTTACAAGTTCAGTCACCCATCCAAACGGTGACTGGTCTCACACTGTTGAACTGTGATTGGTTTGAATTCATTTAATAATCGACCAGTGACCCAGTATCACATATTTTAAGTCTTAACAAAATTTAATGTCTCTTAAATTGCTTGATATTTGTCATGACCAATAAAGACAGAGATATGAGTCATGCCCGTAATAAATACACACGCCTCTGAATGAAATCCAAATTGTCATTTAAAGAATTTTAAGCTACATAATGCTACTTTTCGTGCTTATGCCCTACTTTTGATTTTTTTTTTTTTAATAATTGCATAAAATTTGTTTAACCCTTAACTACTGAGGTAGAGTCTACTAGACTCCGTCTGACTCTGCATCAGTTCCTCCACTAGTATTTTGTATCAGATTTTTCTTGCGTCATTCAGTACCTTTCTGTTTAGTAATTATCTGCTTGTAATTCTAAACAGAGTGTTCATTGGAATAGAATAGAATTTTATTAACTGTCGCTACAATAAATGACTAACAGCAGGTAACAACAGAATATAACTTAATACTAACTTATTAATGCAGCATACATTCACCTCGCACAAACACCAACTCACTCTTAAAAAAAACCAAACAAAAACACAT